AAATAAAAATTTGAAAGCTCTGATCACCACTATGAATCAGAGCATATAGGATATTATAGGCAAAAGGGATTTCTTTTCCCAAGCCTCCAACATTTGTCCTTTTTTTTTGTTAATAAAAGTTTTAATGGGTTCGACTCTGATCACCATCACGGACTAAAGTATGTTTTTGGAACCATAGATTATTGACAGTCATTTTTACATTGAGAGCGAAATTCGTACATCCAACCTTTTCGTAAAGAAATGGTTTGTTCTTTTAACTATTGTTATTTTTGCAGCAAATGATATGTAGAACTCAAAAAGATTTCACCCAAAAACTATAGGAGATAAATTTCACAAAAACTAACATAGTGACATTTAAGTCCAGTGAAAATTTCATTCTAAACGTCCAGTGAAAACTTTCACCCACTTTCAAGTAGTGATATTTAAGATCATCATCTCCAGAAAGGACATGAAGCCACAGGAGATGTTTGTTATCAGGAAGGCCATTGCGAATGTAAGCATGATATCTTCCCTCCAGGAGGAAGCATTTACTGCTTCAGCATGGTAAATTGATAGCACAAGTAAGGCAAAAAGAAATCTAGTTGGTACGAACCTCAAAACTGCTTTTTGAGAGGAGATAATAATGTTCTACAACCCTTTCATCTTGCATCCTCTCGTGTATAAAATCAAAGATTTTCGGCTGTCATTAATGGCATTGTTAACTTTAAAAGCTAAACCAAACCAAATATCTCCAAGGGAAGTTCCATTTATCATGTTGTTTATCTCGTCCAATATAAGTCCATGAGTAGGTCCGTAGGACTCGAGCGACAAAAATTCTGTTGTGGTGGTACTCCTTCAATGCTCTCTCCACATTTTTTCTGGCTTTTCTCCATCTCTCCTTTTTTTTTTTTGATTTACCCCTCCAACCTTTCCCCCACCCTTCCTATTCTCAATTATTAGGTTCAAGATTCGAACCAACCCCGAACTTGATAATAGGAAGGATTCTAAGAGTTCTCTTATGCATCTAAACCTAGTTTGATTACCCGTGCTGAACCAACCCTGAACTTGATAATAGGAAGGATTCTAAGAGTTCTCTTATGCATCTATACCTAGTGTGATTACCCGTGCTACGCACGGTGTTGACATTATTGAAAGAAATTAAAAGAGAGGATGAATTAAAAAAAGTAAAAAAAATTGTACCAATATAATTAAAATCTAAAATTTGTCTAACAATAGTTCAAAATATGATAAAATGTGCACATCATTCAAGAACTGCATTTTTGCGGAAGATGGACCTTGATATAATAATAGAAATTTATATTAGAAAATGAATGATATGTGGATAAAAATGAATGTAATCAGATGTTTCATTTGATTTCAAAATGAAATACTTACAAATATTATGCATTCAATTTGATAATCTTATACGAATGTGCAAACATTTTTCATACCAATAAACCTTTAGTACGAAAGTCAATATTGGTAATTCAATTGACTCTGTTAAATTTTGTAGAATTCGTACTACAAAAGAATGTTCAGTGAGACTTGTCTTTTTTGGAAGTGAATTTACTGAATCTTTTGAAATATTTCAATGGGATCATTGCAGTATAGATTTTGCTTTATGATCAGTTGTTTTCTCCTTTGCAATCTTGCAAGTTTGGAATTGATGTGCCATTGAAATTAATGACAGAGCCAAGAGGGATTGATAGGGGCCATGGCCCTATTAAGTTTTAAAAATTTTAATTCATATTGTATGTGTGTCTATATATATATATATATTATATAGATTAATCTTTCCTACACTGACAGTTTATACACTATCAGAATTGGATGAATGATAACTATGCAAAATTTGAATTTAAAATTCAACTTTTGCACACATGTCACAAAATCAAACGGTAATAGTGTATACACTGTCAGTGTATATAAGATTTACTATATATATATATATATATATATATATATATATATGAATTAACTACATTTAAATTAATTTTTTCTTCAAAAAAAATTATTTATTTGTTACATACCTTTATAATTAAAGTTAATATTTGATATTTTTAGATGTCATATATTTAAATAGATGAAAATTATTTTGAACATAGCATATTAAAATAATTTTGTTAGGAAAAATTTTGGCCCCCCATGAAAATAATCCTGACTCTTTCACTGATTGAAATGCTTATAGGTGGGATTCGTCTATAGTGAGAGTATGATACATAGTTTTTTTTTTCTCATTGTATTAGTTTATGTGGATGACAAATGAAAATGGGTTAGTCATCATCAGTTTTGTGAATAATTATAAGAGTAAAATACATTATGATAATAACATACGTGGAATTATGGGAATAATAATTCAAACGGGTTCCGAAGTTTTGGATATGTGATTTTCGTAGTAATGAGTTTCTTAAATTATCAGTTAATTATTACTATCAGTGGTATGATAAGTGTCAAACTTGATTTAGGATTTGCAGATGTGATTTTGCAAGGGTGGTTATTATCTGTTAGTTAAAATTTTGGAGTTTTGATTTTGTGAATTAGTGGATCACGTAAATTGGCAAGTAGGAAGAGTTAAGGAGAAACGATGAAGATTACTGAATTAGAATTAAAATAAATCTAAAATTGTAGTAAAAAGGGATTCAAATTTCTGACGTTTGTGGAGACTCCTCATAAAAAGCCTGCCCTCTAATACATATAGATATAGATTCTCTTTTTTAATTTTTCCTTCCTCATATTTTTCAGGTAAGCCAAATGAGGGAGTGCGGATAAGGAGCTGAGATTTGCAAATGATAATCGGATATATATTAAGCTCTAATAGTTACATTTTTTTTTTGTTAGAAAGCTCTAATATTTAATTCTTTTTTTTTTTGTTTAGAAAATTCATATATTGAACTCTAGTATGTGTTTGACTCTACTACAGTGCTACTAAGTGTTATCATACTAATTTTTTAAGGGGTATACAAATCAAAAGTTGATAAAAATCAAAAAGAAAAATATATAAAATATCCATCAGATTCCTCGATCCACGAACACTTAACTTCCTGATAATCTTCATTTTTTTTTTTGAGTATCGTGATAATCTTCATTCATGTACGAATTCAAAGTTGATGTTCTTGAAAGAATTAAAATAGCATCTTAGTCGTCACCATTGGGTTCCATCAAATAGCAACTGAAGGACACACTTTTTTTTTTTTTTTTTTTGTCAAACTGAAGGACACACTTGACTCTTGGCAAATGGGCTTTCATTTACCCAAGCGTCCAACTTTTGAAGCTGCTTGGATTCCTATATCCACTATCCCCTGTTTCACTTGGTTTTCCACGTCGTTTCCCTTTTTCTCCCCCTTCCTTGTCGGTTCTGTCGAGCCAACTTCTCATGAATATCAATGAATATAAGTTCTTTATATTAGCAAATGCCTAGATGAAGTTGTTTGATATTCATGTCGAGTCGGGGTGCCAGTAATGATGTCTATAAAATTTTTAGGGAAAAAAAAAAATCTAGTTTTAGTCCATAATATTTAGTCCATTTGCGCGAAGAAGGATTACAAACACAGCATGATAGAATTGGACTAGATCAATGTGTCAATTCAAGAGCTTATTTTGGGTGAGAAAATTTTTGCTTATTTCAAAGACAGCGCATACATCCAGTGCATGATAACTGCCAAAACAAGGTGAACCAGTCTTTGAGAGAACTAAAAGCACTTTGATTTGCTTAATTAATTTTAATGACGCAGCATGTTGGGCAGCAACTTTAATAGAATAGCATGTTGAGCTTGTCTTGTCAATGGAATAAAAGTAGGGCAAATTATATTTTATCCCGCTGTGATTTATTACTTTTTTATATAACCCCCAATGATTTCAAAAGTTAGATATTACCCTCTCATGATTTGGATTAAAGTATCAAAGTGACGAAAATAATCATTCGTAACGGAACTTTTAAAAATATCGAAATTACCCTTATAAATACACAACACACTAACCCCGTATGATTTTTATGTTTTACCATATAATCCCCTTATGTTTTAATATTTTACCATATAACCCCTTTATAGTTTTCAAAATATACACATAACCCCCCTTGGTCAATAAATAATTTTCAATTTTACATAAGGGTATTTTTTGACATTTTAGGTAACTCCATTACGAATGATCATTTCCGTCACTTTGACACTTTAATCCAAACCATGAGGGAGTTATGTATAGATTTTGAAACCATAAGGGGGTTATGTAAAAAAAAAAGCTAAATCACAAGGGGGTAAAGTGGAATTTGCCCATAAAAGTATGCCCTTCCTGTGATTTAGTACTATAATAAGCTTACAACTTTAATAGAATAGGTTCAGTGATTAAAGTTGATGATATACGAGCCACGTGGATTAATCTTTGGTAGATCAAAAGCAAAGCAAGGAAAAGAGTATAGTATAGTAGTAACCGGTAGGGCAGCAACCAAATAAAGAAAAAGAATGAGAATAAAATAAAATACTAGAAGGAACATCTGATCTTCGTATTTATTTATTATTTGAGCTAGAATTGAGTGGGAGTGCGTGGAAATGTTTTTCAATATTTTTTTTGGCCTTTATGGATGCATGCTACAATTTGTTCTGTACTTTTTGTCTTGGAGCTTTAAATGACTTGCCCCAGCAAGAACATCTATCCTCTCTGTCTACCATGACACAATTATGTCCCCAATTTGGCAGATTAAACCCTTTTTCCTGATTTTTCTATAACTTTTTTTTTCTAATAGTCGTTCCAAGGGAGATCATATTGAGCAAGCTGATAAATGATGCAAAAAAAAAAAAAAAAAATTTCATACTGTGTTTAGTCATTCTTGATGTGCTAAGCAAGGACAATTGATACCACAAGTTACTGATCTAGCAGACAATTAGGCCAACAGACCACTGGTAACTCAAGTACTAGTCACGTAGCCATCCAGGAGGACCAGGACAGAAACGTCAAAGGCAGGAAAAAAACACGAGGTCTAATAATTGGATTAGCCATTTAATTCAAGGCTCATCGTAGAGATACAGGCAGCCACAATTTTGGACTCCCTATTTCTCCTACTTTCTTACTCCTTTCAGGGAGTGAATGAATCTGACATATCCAACATTAACACAATTCCTCCAGGACTGTACCTTCCTCTGGCCTAACTCTGATGGCAGCACTGACAAGAAAAAGAAACAATGAATCTCCAGTCTCAATGAGGGAATCTTTTGTTCTTGTACTTGCTTCCTGTTTAACAGTTTGTGGTACTGCCATAGACACCATTACTATCGGTAGGCCTGTCCAAGACAATGAAACTATAGTATCCTCCGGGCAAACCTTCAAGTTGGGCTTTTTTAGTCCTGCAAACACTAGTAATCGCTATGTTGGAATCATGTACAATATTCCTGGAACAACTGTTATATGGGTAGCTAACAGGGACAAACCTGTTAAGGATTCTACCGGAATTTTGACAATTGCAGAAGACGGTGACCTTGTAATCTTGAATGGGGAGAGGGAGACCATATGGTCTTCTAATGTTTCAAAGTCGGTGGCAAGCTCAAGTGCCAAACTTTTGGATACTGGGAACTTAGTCTTGACAGACAACTCAGATGGAAGTACGATGTGGGAGAGTTTCCAAATTCCTACTGATTCTTTGGTGCCAAAGATGAGATTAAGTGCGGGTGCAAAAGAGAAGCTCCAACTAACTTCCTGGAGAAGCCCTTCTGATCCTTCCATTGGAGATTTCTCTGCAGGCTTTCATCTTTTCCGACCTCCGCAGTTCTTTGTTTGGGAGAATAATGTACCTTGCTGGCGCAGTGGTCCATGGAGTGGTAATACGTTCATCGGAATACCTGGCATGAGTTCTGCTTATCAGAGTCGATTAGATCTGGTGGAGGACAATTCAGGATCTACTTATTTTACCTACAACTCTGTAAATAATCCGGCTCTGTTCTACTACTCATTGAATTCCTCAGGGTGTTTACAGGCAAAGGTCTCAATTGGAAAAGGAGATTGGAGTGTAACGTGGTCAAGTCTAGAAAGCCAATGTGATATTTATGGCAAATGTGGACCTTTTGGAAGCTGCAATCGTCTACAGTCACCAATTTGTACGTGTTTGCAAGGTTTTAAGCCAAGAGATGAAGAGGAATGGAACAGAGGACATTGGAGTGGTGGATGCATAAGAAAGGAATTGTTGAAATGTGAGAGAAATCAATCTTCCAGTACAGATGCCAAAGAAGATGGATTTGTTAGACTCCCAAACATGAAAGTTCCAGATTTCCTTGTGCTGGTAGTAATCTCAGAAGAAGCATGTGGTAGTTCTTGCTTGAAAAATTGCTCTTGCACAGCTTATGCATATTACAAAGGGATAGGATGTATGCACTGGAGTGGCAACCTAATCGATGTGCAGCACTTCTCCTATGATGGGGCAGACTTGTATGTACGCGTACCTTATTCTGAACTTGGTAAGATATATCTTCTATACTCTTGTTATGGTTAGGTGTTTCACTTATCAATTGCTTATACTTGTCTAAGGATTTGTGCCCAGTTTTTTTTTTTTTTTTTTAATTTGCAATCAATCCAAAAGTCCAAAACTGATAATTTTCACATTTTTTTGGATCTATTTGAAGTTATGATGAAATTTGTTTGTGTTTCTACCAGAAAGGTATCAAAATGACCAAAATGAGGGCATATTACTTAATTCCTTGTATGAAAATTCTGAGATTATGCTTTCAACACTTGAAATACAGATAAAAAGAAGGATACGAAAGCAGTCACTGCAGTCATAGTGGTTGCAGCATCTTTATTTATTGCCGTCTCTCTTTATTTTTGTTGGAAAAGGTGGGCTAAGCACAAAGGTGAGATTATTTAATATGCTCAAACTGTGCTTAATTAATTTCTCATGTGTTGTCATTTATATTCATGCATTCACCTACCACCTTCTCATAAATAGGTAAAGACCAAGATGATCAGGTGTCTTTGTTTGAACCTACGTATAATGTGGAAAACATGGTCAACAAAACTGGGGACCGAGCCAAGTTAGGAGAGCTACCTCTGTATACTTATGAAACACTAGCTAAAGCAACAGATAACTTTGAACCATGCAATGAGCTGGGCAAAGGTGGTTTTGGTCAAGTCTACAAGGTAAAGTAAGCTCCTGATGGTATTCCACGCTGCTTCAAGAACTAAATGAGTTGTTTGCTAGGATTGGAACTTAATTATCATTGCATCTGCAGGGAAAGCTGTTAGATGGCCAGGAAATTGCAGTGAAAAGGCTTTCCAACACTTCTGGCCAAGGCATTGAGGAGTTTATGAATGAAGTTGTGGTCATTTCTAAACTCCAGCACCGGAACCTTGTTAGACTCATTGGCTGCTGTGCTGAAAGAGAAGAGAAAATGCTAGTCTATGAATACATGCCAAACAAAAGCCTGGACTTCCATCTATTCGGTTTGTTGATGAACATCGCAGCACTTTTTTTTTTTTTTTTTTTTTTCAGTTCCAAAAAACCAGGTTTTTCGACTAGCAGCACTATACGGCACAGGAAATTTTCCGTAATACCTTATACTGAGTCATATTGATCTACGTCATTATTGCTCTTTCAGATTCTGATAAGCCAAGTGTACTTGATTGGAAAAAACGCGTCACCATCGTTGATGGGATTGGCAGAGGCCTCCTTTACCTTCACAGAGATTCAAGATTAAAAATCATTCATAGAGATCTAAAGGCAAGCAATATTCTCTTAGATAAAGAGCTGAGACCCAAGATATCAGATTTTGGCTTGGCAAGAATTTTTGGAGGCAATGAAGATCAAGCCAATACAAGGAGGGTTGTGGGTACATAGTGAGTACAGTTCGCTCTCTTGTTTAATTCAATCAGTTCATAATAAATCTAAACTGTTTTTCTTCCCCTTGTAGTCCTCATAACTCAAACTACTTTTTTACTCTTTTTGCCTATATATATGGTGATGAACGTAAGTGGCTACATTGCCCCGGAATATGCAATGGAAGGCATGTTTTCAGAAAAGTCAGATGTCTACAGCTTTGGGGTGCTGCTATTAGAGATTGTGACAGGAAGGAGAAATAGTAACTTCTATTATCACGAGAATGAGCTGAGTCTACTTGGATATGTAAGATAATATCTTCGACTATGACGAGTATCATAAGGGCAAAGTTCCTTATCCCATTCTTGCATAAAGCAAATTAAATTCACTGTTTCATCTTGCTTCCTCAGGCCTGGAAATTGTGGAATGAAAAAGAAGCAGTTAAACTGATAGATGCAGCTATCTTTGTCCCGGGTATCGAAAAAGAGGTCTTGAGATACGTCCATGCAGGGCTATTGTGCGTGCAAGAATTTGCAAAAGATAGGCCAGATATCTCTGCTGTTCTATCCATGCTTAACAGTGAAACTTCAAATCTCCCTCTTCCCAAATTACCGGCTTATACAAGAAGATTAGGATCTTCAGTAAGTGATTCTTCTTCGCAAAGGGTTGATTCTATTAACAATGTCACTGTAACGATTGTTGAAGGCCGATAACAGAATCCACTTCACAGTATGCAGTACTAGTAATGCATTCAACAAGATGGATGTAGCACAACATCAGTTTGCTTTGGAGGTATCAGCATACAATCAGCTGCTTGGTTATATTTATGCATCTCAGTCTGGGTGACCATATATTTGACAGCTTACTGGGTATAAAGTATATAAATAACTGTTTACTTGCTATCATGGACAGTTTTAGCAATAGTCTCTCCTATGAATACTTTCTTCTAGTCTCTGTTTCTTAGGCTGACTTTATGCATCTCAAATTATTTTCTCAGAGATAAGAGCAGATTTCAATGCACAATTTGGATTATTTGCAGAAAACCATTAGTTTCGGGATGACGTATTTGGATGTCAATGCCTTACCCATGGTTCTAGAATGGATTTTTAGTACTTTTACTATTCGACAGATAACTCAATTTTAGGAAATTTTTATGTTCATATTTCTTTATCTATATACGAATTTTCATGCTTGACTTTTGACCATGTATCACTTAGAAGTTAGAACCACTAAGCTTGAATATGGAATCCAATAACGCTAATTACATGAGAGTTCACCTTTACTTATTTGCTTTGTTTGAAAGAATCTAAAGTGTTACTGGCTTGTAGGTATTTCAATTCGTTGATGTACAGAAGACTGGTAAAATAACATTAAACAAGTAACCACTTTTAAATTTGATTATCTATTTATCAATGTCCTATTTTCCTTTGATACACATAAATGGAGTCTGAAAAATACTAGTAGCACTAAAATCGTAAGCTTAAACTGATTGACCATGTTGTAAATTGAAGATCATCTTGGTGCTATGGTCAAATTGATTACTCACTTTAGGGATCATTGGTTTTTGTTATGGAAAGTTCATGTTCGGGATGTAATTCCTTTTCTGAATGTGTTTCATTTTGCAGGTTTAGGATATCATTTCTTGGCTCTTAGAACGTTTTCGTATAACTCGAGCCATTCTCTATGAAGTTGAGATGGTACTGCCTATTTGTATATGTGATATTGTAATTTTGATGAATATTAGTGTATACAGCGAGACTCGATTAGTATGTTAACTAATGGAAGGTTTCATTCATTAATACTCGAAGGAGTAGCTAGTTAATTTGCTATAAATGAATTTATGTCTTTTTCTTATTTCTTGATAGACATCAACTAAAGAGGCTTGTGAATGGATTTCTTTTAAGTTTTGGCCTTCCAAAAAAAATAAAAGAAATAAAAATAGAAAGAAAAGAGAAAAAAGAAAAAAGATGATGTTTTTGTGACTCGCAAGTCCGCTAGCCACAAGGCTATTGGGGTCTAATTTAACTAGTGGGTCCCAATAGCACTTGTGACCAGCAAAACATGACACAAAAGATCTTTTGTGACTATTATTTGCATGTCACAAATAAATCCTACTTTTTTTAACTTTTTATTACATTCAAAATACAAGTCATAAAAGGTATTCTTACAAGTCATAATTGATAATGTGACTTTCATATACAAGTCATAAAAAATTTTGTGACTATTAAATCCGTGACTTTCATATACATGTCACAATGTGGTTACAAAAAGTTTTTGTGACTGTTTAGACCCTTTTTTGACTATTATTGACGAGTCATAATTTCCAGCGGTGAAACATGTTTTGCAGGATTAATAAAGTCTTCATTGTCTAGGATCCTAATGGCTAGAATGTTGAACTTTTTGGACTTCAGTAAATTTTGTGAAGTTTTGATTGTGGGCATAACATTGGCTAAGAAATTATGATGAACAAAATTAATCAATTGTGAGCCGCACAAAATGTTCATTACATAAAGAAGAAATTAAACATTTACTATGCATTGTATAATTACAAAAACTCAAAGATGGAAGGTTACAGAAATTTTCTATGATGTGTCTAGCTAGTGCATAAAACCAACAAAAAATAAATTAACTTTTTGTCTTTTTATTAGCTATCTATGATCTTTTGTCTAGTCATTAACTTCGTATTTTCTTCTAAACCAATATATATGATATACGTAGTTAACTTCAGTTATCATTAAATAAAAAAGGGACACCACAATAATTGAAGATAATTTTTACATATAATGATTTGAGATAAGAGCAAGGGTTAGTGAATATATTTTTATATTGGCAGTTTTAATTCTAATCACATTTATTATTGATATGTAATCAATTGGAATTTTTTTTTCTTGGTTAGTGTCACAACTGAAATGAGATGCGTTTAACTCTAATTAAAAGGCATGATGGTAACTTAGGCATAACTGGACATAATATGTAACTTCAATCATCAATTATTTTAAAAGTGGGATTCATTCCTCAATCTTCGAGATCAATCTCTCTTTTATACTGGGATTTAAAAGTGGATGTTCAATGACGAAGGAGCAAATTACACTTTAGCTCCTGTGGTATAATTAATTTTTACATAACCTCATATAGTTTTAAAAACTATATATAACCCTCTCATAATTTGGATTAAAGTGTCAAACTGACGGAAATAATCATCCGTTATGGAACCTATGAGAATATCAAAATTACCTTTATTTAAAAACTAAATGACTGAAGTAATTAAAATATATAAATATAATATGTATGACACTCAAATCTTATATGGTTTTCTATTTTACCATATAACTCTCTTATGATTTAGTGCTTTACTATATAACTTTCTTATGATTTAGTGCTTTACTATATATCTCCCTTATAATTTTCAATAAATATATATAACTCCCGTTGTTAATAAATAAATTTCAACTTTACATAAATGTATTTTTGACATTTAGTTGATTCCGTTATGAATTGCAATTTTCGTCACTCTGATATCTTAATCTAAATCATAAGGAGATTATGTATAACTTTTAAAATTATAGGAGGGCTATGTAAACAAATACTAAACTACAAGGGGGTAAAGTGTAATTTACCCATGACAAAGACACCAAGCTGAAAGAATTAAAATTGCAACTTAGTTGTCACCATTGGGTTAGTCTACAGGACACTATAGGCAAAAGGGCTTTCTTTTCCCAAGCCTTCAACATTTTTTTTTAAAATAAAAGTTTGAATGAGTTCCAACTCTGATCACCACCATAAATCAGAGCATACATGATATTATAGGCAAAAGGGATTTCTTTTCCCAAGCCTCCTACATTTGCCCTTTTTTTGCTAATAAAAGTTATAATGGGTTCGACTCTAATCACCACCAAAGATCAGAGCATGTTTTTGGAATCATAGATTATTGATAATCATTTTTACATCGAGTCGTAAAGAAATGGTTTGTTCATTTAACTATTGTTATTTTTGCAGCAAATGATCTGTAGAAGTCAAAAAGATTTCACCCAAAAACTATAAGAGATAAATTTCACAAAAAACTAATGTAGATGAGGAGGCAATTTACACAATATATATGAGGGAAGAGGAATAATACTAATGATAATACATTAACCATACACCATAATAATAATGTAATTAAATTTTAATCTTCTTGACAAATCACAATAACAATAATATCATAACTGAATTCAAATAAAATTACTAAGACCGTAACTTGAGACTGTTAAATAATAATATAAAAATTTCTATTTTTGCAGATTTTTGGATTAAAAGTAAAAAAAATAGTAGTCAAATCTTCTAGAACATCCGGTAGTTAATGTGTTTGATTTGTCTTAGGTTCGATTCTGTTTATTCCAAAAAAAAAAAAAAAAAATGAAAATGCTGATGCGCAAACTCCTGGGCTTAATTTCAGGTTTCAGGTCAAATATGCTACTTTGAAACAGTAGAAGAATGTTTTATCTGTCCGTAAAATTAATTATACCAAACATTTCTATCCGCTGTTACAGTTTCTAATGCTTTTATTGGTGATACTGATTCAGCTGGTAAAGGTTTATAGAGCCAACTGCAAGTTGCAGCTACACGCGCCAAAGGTTGGTCTCGGTAGCAATTTGCTGCGTTATAGGATTTTACCTAAAGATTAGTTTATTGAGTTGACTTGTAAGCTTCAATAATGACGGCGGACAACTGGTAATTGACTCACAAGTTTAAGCCGCATGGTGGGCTTGATTCAGAGTAATGGTGCAGTCAACCGGGACGATATATTATTAAGCTGACTCTAAAAAAGTCTTGTTTAGGGCAAATTTTACTTTACCCCCTGTAATTTAGTATTTTTTACGTCACCCCCTATGACTTCAAAAAGTTATATATAACTCCCTTATAGTTTAGATTAAAGTGTCAAAATGATGGAAATGATCATTCGTAAATGAGTCACCTAAAATGTCAAAAATACTCTTATGTAAAGTTGAAAATTATTTATTAATCAAGGGAGGTTAGGTGTATATTTTGAAAACCATAAGGGGATTAGTGTGTCATGTATTTATAAGGATAATTTTGATATTTTTAGAAGTTTCGTTACAAATGACTATTTCTGTTATTTTGACACTTTAATCCAAACCATGAGGGAGTTATCTATAGCTTTTGAAACTATAGGGGAATTATGTAAAAAATGCTAAATCACGGAGGATAAAATGTAATTTGCCCTTAGTTTATCATAATCAAACACATGATTTCATCATGCATGATGGCTTCATGAATATGACAAGAGCCACGATGGGTTTAATTTTCTTATGGCATGACTTGGTCTAAATATCTAGGAAGAATGCAAATATCTTGTATTGCCGTATTAGATTCCCAGATATAAAAAATTTGTGGAGGGAATGAAATGGAGTTAGATTGTAAGATTGTTCATCATCAATGAAAACTTCTCAATCACCAATAAGGGGATCCCTTTTTCTACTACTTGCTTGCTTCTGTTTAGAAGCTTGTACAGCGGTGGATTATATAACAATCACTCAGCCTCTGCAGGACTCCGAAACTATAGTTTCTTCAAACCAGACTTTCAAATTAGGATTTTTCAGTCCTGCAAATAGTAGTGGTCGATATGTTGGAATCATGTTCAATGTTCCTGCAGTTGCAGTAGTATGGGTGGCTAATAGAGACAGACCATTAAATGATTCATCAGGAACTCTGACAATCTCAGGAGACGGCAATCTTGTGGTCTTGAATGGGCAGAAGGAGATACTATGGTCATCTAACGTTTCAAATTCTGTGGCAAATTCTACTGCACAACTCTTGGATACTGGAAACTTGGTTTTGACAGACAATCCCAGTGGAAGAACTCTGTGGGAAAGTTTTCAGATTCCGACAGACTCATATCTCCGGCGGATGAGATTAAGTTCAAGTACGAAAGGCCAGAAAATCCGATTGACCTCTTGGAGAAATGCTTCTGATCCATCTATCGGAAGTTTCTCCCTAGGTATTGAACCCCAGCAAACTCCACAACTCTTCATTTGGAACGACAATAAACCTTATTGGCGCAGTGGTCCATGGAACAGCAGTGCCTTTATTGGAGTTTCTGCCATGGATCCAGTCTATCTAAATGGTTTTAACCTGGTAACGGATGATACAGGATTGGTGTCTGCTACCTTCACGTATTCAAGTGATAGTGGTTT